GCCCCCACTAATGGTATCAAAACGTCTTTTTATGGAGTAGAAAGTATACGAGTGTACAAGCACCCAGAAAATATGAGGTTTTGTACAGAAGAAGAAGAGGAACATACATAACATGCTTATTTATACAGTTGGGTCGATCATCAATTCTAACCAATAGGAAAGAACATTTAAAAGTATGTGAACTTGATAGTTTAGGACAATAATTTAATATTGACCAATAGAATTAGACTTACAAAATAATTTCCTTAGGATATTTCATGAATATCCTAACAGTACCCAATATCTCGCAGCTTGCTAAGTGAATCGATAGTATGATGACACACGTATGCAGACGAACCATCAGTCTAAGCAGTCGAGCGAACCTCCTGCACTCTGATAAATAGCATGTTTTCAACTACCCCAACGCTGGCAACGATGTGCAACGTTATCATAGACAGCCATTCTGATTCATACTCCTTGTTAGGTTCGTCACTAGGTATGCTTGAAACTATTAGACATTAACACCGTTGGATGCCGGCCAAGTGGTTCGATGGTTAGGCGGTTGCGCACAAAACCGAAGGTCTCGGACCCGAATCCTGCGAGGTGAAGAAGTCGTGGATGTGCACTGTCGCTGATGAGTCCCATACCAGGATGAAACGGCCGTCCAGTGTTTGCAGGTTTCTAATGATGGTCTAACAATGATTAGTTGATGATTTCAAATGTGTAAAACCACAAACCTCCAAAACTCTGCCCAAAAATATTACGAGTCCACCTTAGTGGATAAACGTGAACGAGACAATGAACCAGCGTCCAAATAGGCTAGCTTGAATCCCAAACTGCAAAACAGAAGACTTGGTAAGCGTAGAAAGTATATTCTACAAACACCCAGCAATCACACAATACAATCAACCAGACACAACTCTCGTTTATTTATACATCAAAGAAACGTCCTTGGGACAGTTACGAAAATAGCACACTAAAATACACAGCAGTCAATCACACAGCCATGGATTTTCCTGATGGGAAATGTGATCTCAAGGTCAACCGGTCAGCCCATGCTCGCAAACATGAAATCCAAAACAAGGCATTTATCAAACGAGTTCTGGGAATATAACGTCCTCAACAAACTACGATCTCCAAAACCCGGTAATGCAAATTACCATGTGCTCACGAGGGACTAGCTTCGTTCACACACACACACAAAACCGAAGGTTCTAGGTTCGAACTGCACTGCTGATGGGTTGCATACCGACACGAAACGGCTGGCTTTCAGTGTTTCCAGGTTTCTAATTGTTAGGATATTCATCCAATATCCTAAGAGAACTAACTATCGGTCAATCCCTACTGGTCGATTTTATGGTCGTCCTAGAAATCAATGTCACGTGCTCCAATGTTGTTTCTTATTGGTCATCCTGAATTTCGATGTCACAGACTTCGATGCTGTTTCCTATTCGACCTAAATTTATAAATATGCATTATCTGTAACATTCTATAACCAAGACCCGGATCCTTAGTCCGGGATCCTGATTCTCTTCTGGACTCGGACCTCGTACTTTGTGGATGGTTGTAGAATACAGGTTCTATTTCACATTCAAGTCTTCTTATTTTTACTCAATATGGTGGTTGAGATAATCGAATTTGAGTAGCATGTCGTGTGGCCGGATCCTCGATCCTCGCTGTCGTATTCTGACTAAGGTAAACTCGTAATAGTTCAAGTATATCAAGTTGACGTGTTTACGTTTCAGACGTAACACTAATGGTGATCTAACCATGATTTATTGATGATTTCCAGGTAAAAAAAATAATCTTCATCATACTATTATGATACATTATTATTTAAGATAAGCCTGGATTAAACGTTTTTGTTTATATATATAACAACGCTTTCAAACTCTAATTTGACAATTTTTTTTTGAGAAAACTTATATTCAACCGTATAGATCAAGAACCTAGTTCTTTTATATTCTTAGTTATAGTTGAAAAGGAAATTAGTTTTCGCTGATTGATGATCATCAGATTAAGTAACAGAACAGAACAGTCAATCAATCAATTTCGGGTAATCATTTTTGCCTAGAGGAATAATATATATATACACATATATACATATATATGAGTGAATTTATTAGTATTATATAAGTAGTCGGACACCTTCACCGCAAATATCGTGTTCTGTGTGTGTGTGTGTGCGTTTTGTTTCAGAAGAGATTTATCAAAACTATGCTAAATATTATTGACTGAAAAAGGAGAAAAAAAGATTATCTAGACACATTTTACACTGTGATTTTTAAATTAAAGACACTAGGGAACAGACAACATTTACATGATACGTACGATTAATTTCTCTTTTCACAACTATTTAAAAAAAAACTAAAGTAAGTTTTTAGTTTTTTCGAGATTGATGAATAGTTTTGAAGGCAAGAAATGAATTGTTCATTAGGGATTTCGAAATTGTTTTTAGAATAATGAACAATAAGTAGTAGTAGGATGTTGATGATGAATAAAGTTTCAAGAAATATGTTTACCTGGAGACGACTACTCGAAGAATTACGATTTTCACATGAAGAGTTGATTTGAGTTAAATGATCAGTGAAATTCAGTAGACGATGTACATCGATTTTGTTCCAGTTTGGGATTCCTCTGAAATGAACATACATGCTTCCACTGGTGATCGAAATGAAGACAATTTTGATGAGCACGAATACTGAAACTGAGACGAAATCCATTGGTGTGAATTTGAGACTTTTTATAGCCTGTGGTAGATGACTGTCTCATAGCTGACTTCGTCGAAAATAATAATAATAATATTAGCAAATTAAGACCGATCACAAGGTCAAGATTTTGAAGGCCTTCCTATGAAACAAACACATAGATTTTGATATACACTCTAGTCATGGATTACAATTGCTTCAGAGTCATATATAATTAGAAAACAGCTGTTCAATGCGTCTTGCTATTCATTATTGATTTAAAACAGATGATAATTCAATGATGTTGACAATGAGATCATCAATCAATCATCGCTAGACCAACACCCGTAGAAACCTGGGAGCACTGAAAGATGGCCGTTTTGTGCTGATATGAGACTCATCAGAAGTGCGCTTTCACGACTCCTCCACCTAGCAGGATTCGGACCCGGGACCATCGGTCTTCGTAACCAGTGACTAGCTTGGTGAGGTAATTCTTGGAGTTCTAGTGAGAAGACGTGACCAATATAATCCAACGATGTCGGATGTAGGCAGTAACTACCAAAAACAAATGGGTGAGGTCGCGCGAAATCCTTAGATGGATCAGAGTTAGACATTAACACCACTGGATTCCGGCTCAGTGGTTCAGAGGTTAAGCGTTCGCTCGCAGGACCAAAGGTTCAGGGTTCGGATCATGCGAGGCACAGGAGTCGTGGATGCATACTTCCTCTGATCAGACCCATTCCAGGACTCGAGTGCCGTCCGGTGCTTTAAAGCTCCTAGTGGTGATCTAGTAATAATTGACTAATGATTTGAATTTGTAAAAACATTAATCTCCATAACCCTAATTGGAAAAAAATGAAATCTTAACGATCTCCATGAAACACATTGAAATCACTTGTTACTGTAGAAATCCTTCCCGAGTAATTCATTATTGTTTGATCAACTAGACATTTATTTTATCGCTGATACACATTTGAAATCATCAATCAATCATTGTTAGACTGCCACCATTAGAAACCTGGAAGAAGCACTGGACGGCCGTTTCGTCCTTGTATGGGACTCATCAGCAGTGTGCATCCCTAGACCAATCAGAGTTAGACATTAACACTGTTGGATGCCGGCCAGCCCATTGGTCTAATGGTTAGGCGTTCGCGCACTATACCGAAGGTCACAGGGTTCGGATCCTGCGAGGAACAGGATTCGTGGATGCGCAATGCTAATGAGTCCCGTACCAGGACGAAACGGCCGTCCAGTGCTTATTCCGGGTTTCTAATGGTGGTAGTCTAACAATGATTGATTGATGATTTCAAATGTGTAAAAACACAAACCTCGCTGATAATTTTCATAATTTCAAGTAAGTATATACAACGATTGAAAATTGTATGCAAAGTGAAAATTATGCAATAGAATGATGATAAATTCATTAATATTTTAAAAAATTATGCAGTGAGTCAATCATTTGAGTGAAATTTCTTTCTAGTGGGAAGTTGTGACCAGTGAAGTTCAACTTGTGCGGGGGGGTGTAGGCAGTAACTACCGAAGACTGTGAATTGATCGAAATTTGATATTAACACCGTTAGATACCGGCTAAATGGCCCAGAAGTTAAGCGTTCGTGCCCAAGACCGAAGGTCCAGGGTTCGGATCTTGCTAGGCGCAGGAATCGTGGATACACACTTCCACTGATGAGTCCCATACCAGGACAAAACGGACGTCTTTCAGTGCTTCCAGATTTCTGTTACGCCTACACGTAAACACGTCAACTCGATATACTTGAACTATCACGAATTTACCTAGTCAGAAAACGAGAGCGAGGATCGAGGATCTGGCGATACGCCAAGCTACTCAAATCCGATTTTCCCAACCTCCATATTGAGTAAAAGTCAGAAGACTTGATATGAAGTAGAACCTGTATTCTACAAGCACCCAGAAAGTACGAGGTCCGAGTTCAGAAGAGAAGTAGGGTCCCAGACTAGGGATCCGGGTCCATGTCATAAAACGTTACAGATAATGCGTATTTATACATTTTGGTTGAATAGGAAACAGCATCGAATTCTGTGACATTGACAGTTAAGACGATCAATAAGTAACAACACTTGAAGTTCGTGATATTGATATATAGGACGACTATAAAATTGTCCAGTAGGAATTAACCAATAAGAATTGACCAATAATTATCTTAGGATATTGGATGAGTATCCTAACAATTTCTAATAGTGGTCTAACATTGATAATTGACTCTTGATTTCAATGTTTAACTTAACAATCTTCACAAACCCTGTAATGAAATTTCTTATTGACTTACTTTTTTTGTCCATTTCTTATTTTCATGTTAGATTATTCCATTGAAGAATTAACAAGAGAAAATCGACGACTCAATGAATTAAATGAACGTTTAGAAAATCGTTTACAATTAATCACACAAACAATTAATGAACTAGATCATTTATATCATTCCGTCAAAAATGATGGTTTCTTTAAACGTTATACAACATTGAAAGATGCTGTGAAACGTATTGTGACTAATGAGGATTTTTATGAAAATCCTTAAGTACCTCCTATGGACAAAATACGCATACTTATAATAAATAATGAAAGATTTTATTTTCAACTTTGTCTCTCACTCGCTCTCTCCTCCATTTCAAAATCAAATTGTATCGTACAAGAATAATATGAAATTGAATTTTGTACAAATCTACTTGTTTATTCCTTGAAATTGTTATTTTCGATTTAATAAAACACTGATTTGTTGTTGTTGTTGTTGTTAAATGATTGTTATATAGATATATAAATATGATAATGTTTATTTCATTTTTGGGCTTTATTACATTATTTGTGTGTGTGTCCGTTTAATTTTTTTAAACGTTTTCTTTGAAACTATCAGTGTTCAATATTCAATTTCACATGTAATTCAGTTAGTTATTATTTATTGAACATTGAATTACTCCCATTTTTCTCTGTTTTTTGAAAGAAAGAAAGAAAAGTTGATCAAGTTTAACGTTTACTTAAAATGTATTTCTGCGATGATAAAATGTCTTCTGGAAATTGTTTTCGAATGTTATTATATGTGAGAAATTCAATTATGGTATTGCTTGCTCCCTTTAAAATTGAGATGAATGTGGATGTACATTGACAAACTGATATAAACAGTCATAAATAATTTATAGAATCTAATAGTTGGTATAGGACAACACTATGAAGGCTTCTTCGACACTATGGCGTGCTTGAGAAAATAGTCAACATCATACGAAATTCTTATGATGGATGAAACTGCGAAATCATGCACGGAGGATTGCTGACAGACTTATTTGAGGTGAAGACCGGTGTCAGGCAAGGTCGCTGACTCTCATCCTTTCTCTTTCTGCTGGTGATCGACTGGATTATGAAGACGTCAACACGGTATACAGTGGACAGCCAGAATGCAGCTGGACGATCTGGCTCTTCTATCGCACACGCAACAACAAACGCAAGAGAAGACGACGAGTGTAGGGGCAGGTCTCATCATAATACACAAAGGAAAAACCAAGATCCTCTAATACAACACAACATGCGCCAACTAAATCACTCTTTATGAAGATGGCTTGGAAGACGTAAAAACCTTTACATATCTGGGCAGCATCACTGACGAGTAAGTAGGATCTGATGCAGATGTGAAAGCGCTGAGTGACAAGGCAAGGGCTGCTTTTATACAACTGAAGATAATCTGGAACTCAGAACAATTATAAACCAACACAAAAGTCAGAACTTTCAATACGAATATCAAGATAGTTCTATTGTATCGGAGAACTATTAAAGCAATCATCCAGAAGATACAAGTGTTTATTAACAGTTGTCTATGCAAAATACTTCGGATTCGCTGGCCAGACACTATCAGTAACAACCTACTGTGGGAGAGAACTAACCAGATTCCAGTGGAAGAGGAAGTCAGCAAGAAGCGGTGGAAGTGGATAGGACACACATTACGAAAAGCACCTAACTGCGTCACAAGACAAGGCCTCACATGGAACCCTCAAGGCAAAAGAAAAAGAGGAAGGCCAAAGAATACATTACGCCGAGAAATTGAGAAAGATATGAGAGGAATGAACAAACATTGGACAGAACTGGAAAGGGAAGCCCAGGACAGAGTTGGTTGGAGAATACTGGTGGGTGGCCTATGCTCCGTTGAGGGTAACAGGCGTAAGTAAGCAAGTAGTTGTTACAACCCATGTCTGTAACTATGTTGCTAAGTTGTTTGTCCGACTCTGGGTTACTTGAGAGGATTCATTTGATAGCCTAATTTTAGATTTTATACTGACCAAATCGCAAAAGCTGTACATGTCTGCACTGTTGCGTAAACTACATCGTTTACTGTCCCCCGAGATGCTGCTGTCATACTACTCGAATCATTTACCTAACTTCATGTTTCTAGCGTTTAGAAACAAAGTACTAGGTAGTTAACCTGAAAATCCTATTACAATTAACCAACCTCAGAATTACAGTAATTTCTGCTATAAAATACCATATGGCCTAATCTCAGATATATATACATCTCCTCGGTATTGATTAAACTGGCCAGTTGATAATCAGACAAGTTATTCTTCTTAAATGGATGAGGTGATTTTGATAACTTGCAATCACGTGATACTGTCTATATATACCTTCTAAATCAACCAGATATTTTCATCAATGACACAGAATTCTGAACATTCTTAACACATGCTGATAACAAGAAATATTGAAGACTCGTTATTCAAAACTATTAACTGTACCAAGTAATTAAAAACTGACTTGACAGATCAGCAGAATTAGCATATAAGAAATTAACTCTATAAACGAGCTGCTATCTAGTGCTTTATAGTTTCAGTCTCTTAAGAGCATAATTACGATGCAGAATAATTGTTCTCGATCATGACACAGTAATTAAATAGTTTCAAATGTTGAGTAGGATTCAAGAAGATCTTTTTCGAATTCACGACCAAATGCATTTCTTTTCAACTATTGGGTTTTAATTTCAAATATTAAAGCCAGTAAAACTACTTTATCTCAGACGACACAGTGTTATGTTATGTATAGCTCAGTTTTAAAAAAATATGGAAATGTGTACTTGAATAAAAAAGCATTATGATATGTGCATCACTAGGTACACCTAAAGCTATTACGAGTTCACCTAAGTCGATAAACGCGAACAAGACAATTACCAGAGTCCAGGTAGGCTAGCTTGAATCCCAAGCTGAAGACAGAAGTCTTGATAAGCAAAGAAAGTATATTCTACAAACATCCAACAAGCACACAACTCTCGTTTATTTATACATCATTTAAAACGTCCTTGGGACAGTCACAAAAACAGCACACTAAAATACACAGCAGCCAATCACAGTCATGGATTTTGCTGGTGGGAAATGAAACTTCAAGGTCAACCCCTGATCAACCCATGCTGGCAAACATGAAATCCAAAATAAGGCATTTATCAAGCGAGTTTTCTGGGGATCTAACATCTCCAATACATTACACTAAACTGCTTAGCTAATCAACAAACATTTCTATTAACTAAAGAAGAAATCTATATTACTCTGCTGAATAAAAGGACAACTTAATGAAAGCCAAAAATTAAGCATTTTATTACCGTTTCAATCGATAAAAACGGAAGAGTATTTCTGCAGAAAAAACTATTCACTGAATGATGTAGTCGACGACAGGTACTCAACTATGTATGTACAGGTATGTTACAGAATGTTACTGGATTTATCGTTCAATTTGATAGATACATTTGGATACAATTTTTAGGGAATTCCCCGAAGAAAATGTTTATTATTATGATTTTTAAGTGAATAAACTCACTGAGATATTAAGCTGATGATTACATTATCATTTTTCTTAAAAAACGTAAATGATGAACAAAGTTTCAATTTTAGTTATTTTTAAACGATTAAAAAGTGGATAGAGAAAATTATTTCAATTATTATGATGTTTTATATCTTGAATAGTTGTAACATTGAACATAGTTTTACATCGTTTCTTTACATTGCATTCGTGTGCAAGGCCGAACGTCCTGGGTTGGAATCCTGTGAGTGGCAGGAATCGTGAATGCTCACTGCCACTGATGAGTCACATACCAAGACGAAACGGCCGTCTTTCAGTGCTTCCAGGTTTCTTCTAATGGTGTTGGTCTAACAATGATTGATTGATTGATGATTTCAGATGTGTATAAATACACTGATCTCCATAACTCGCTCTAATTGAAAACGTTTTAAGTTGGAATAAATAGTTTTCTACAGAAAAATTTTTAAAACATATGCCCTAACAGTTGCATTACGGGGTTGTGAAGATTGTGAAGTTTTGTTGAAACCATGAATCGATCAATGTTAGACCACCATTAGAAACCTGGAAGCTGAAGAGTCCTATACCAAGACGAAACGGCCGTCCAGTGCTTCTGTGGTGTGTGCTACTTATACGAACGATATAAGTAGTATAAGAAGGGACGTGAAAGAAGAAGTCTCACGGTCAGAAGAGGAAAACGGAAAGCAAATGGAGCAAAAACAAGAAGTAAATGGAGTAGTATCAACAGGAAGGAAAGGAAGCAACAACAGGAATGGAAGAATGATGATGGACTGTTGGAAGTCAGGACTCAAAGATGGTGTGCAAATAGAGTGTATTCAATGTAATGTTTTTGTTTTTAATTGACTCAGAGTGTAAATTTGCTAAATACAATCTTCCTCACCTGCCTCAGTCTTCTCACTTCCAGGTTTCTAATGGTGGTCTAACATTGATCGATTCATGGTTTCAAAAAAATGTGCCTTAACAGTTTTTGATTTGTTAAGCATATCATGAACTTACAATTGTGTATACAGTTTCAAACTTGTTTGGTTGACTGATTTAACAATCATAGTTCTATACAACACTTAGTAAAAGCTTGTTTTTCCGGCCTTATGAAAAGATTTAGTGAACTAAAAATCTGTACTCACATGAATGAATCCATTGATTTCGAATTCGGGCAAATTTCTAGAGTCTTAAAAAGAACGATGCAAAAATGTTATACTGATTCGAAAATAATTATGTGTCCATTAGTGGTATGTAAAGATCAATTCTATCTGTGATTACTAGTTCAGAAAGTACAAGTAGTATACTAGATAACTTTCAATTCATGCCGGTTTTTAGGAATGAAAAAAAAGTGCGAGCTGCCAGGACAAAACATAGCACAAATCCGTCAGTTCACTGACAACTGGACTGAGCCATGTTGGTAGGTGTATGGTACGTGGTTGGGGTCTGTGAGACGATAGTCACCGATGGTTAGAGACCTTGAATGATATGGCTCAGAATCGTTTGCAACGGTACAGCTGCATCCACTATCTATGTTCTCTCAAAAACTAATCTTCAGAATTCCTCATCATATCTATCTCTTTCTAAAGTTATACTTCTTGAATGATTTCTTCAACCCCTAATATTCTCCCTTACCGCTGATTCTACTGATATCTCCACCACTATAGGATTAGCCTCTCTGTGCTAATGCGGTATGGCGATCTGAACTTATGTACTTTTGTACCAAGTTCTACATTGTAACTGATTGACTGACTGACTTGTGGTAGATGCGCACTTCTGATGAGTCTCACATGAAGACGAAGTGGCTATCCAGTGATTCCGTGGAACCAATTGACATTTCATTCAAAAATCAAAAACTTAGCATAATATCAATGATTGAAGAGAATGTAAAATCAATATCAGTGATTCGATAACAAAATGTATGTTGATAAAAATTTTGACGACGACATAGAGTTGATTAATTTTAT